TTATATATATATATATATATATATATATATATATATATATATATATATATATATATATATGCTTCAACAACGGACCATCCGGATGAGCAGATTGCAGAATTCTACGATGATATCTCAACGGCACTCAAAGAAACACCATGCGATATGCGACATTGTTGCCAGATTTAAAGGATTTAATAATTTCTGAAACCTTGTACATTATAAAGAGGTGCAAGGACTGCTCGCATCTTTTTACTGTGTTGCACTAGAATAACGGGTTTGGATTACAGCTCACAGTCTAGTTATTATGTCTATGCTGAAGACTTAATTCTGTTTATGTATTTAACGTATTATAAAACGAGATAATTAGCACGAAACTGGACACTAGAATGGACAATTTATATTATATACCCAAAGTAGGCATTTTCCTTAATATTAGTAACTGAATACATAAACTTACAGAACAGAGCTGGTCTTATAAAGAGCTTAACAGTACAATCTGAAAATGGGGAAAAATTATTATTATATCCCCGAATTCATTATAATTTATGATATCCAAATTAGACAACGTGTCAACATGCAATCAAATTGCAGTAAACTACATAATTCCATGTTAATTTAAAAAAATTCTTTGTGCAACTACATGTATATCGTAAATTTAAACTACTATTCTTAAAATATTCCCGTTTTTTGAAATCATTTAATAAAATTCATAATATTCTCATAATGTATTTAAAAATCAGCCTTACGACTCACAAAATGCACTTATAGTAGTTTAAATTATTACAGCTAATATAAAATATAATAAAATATTAAAATAAAAAACATTAAATCAATAAATAAAATCGTACACATAACATTTTATCTTCATTGGTGTAAATTCAGTACATTTTTCATTATTTACTAGTTTCTATTTTTTTCATATAAAAAAGTGAAATAGCTACCTTGCAAACAATACTGATAAATAAAAAAAGCCAAACAGTATCACCGGGAGATTCGTTTTTGAGTATTTTAGAAAATATAACTTGATTTTTTGATAATTTTTTTTCGTTTCACAACCAATACGTGAAACAACATTTTTTGCATAGACCCAGAGCAGTTATAAAAGTATCGCAACCACTTATCACGTGATATACCGTCCAATAAGTATGCTGCCAATTATTTCTAAGGTAAGTTAAAGTTTTTAAAGAACAGAAAGCACACTCATAAATCCAGATTGATTTGGGTTTCGTTACAACACGATACTATTGAGCAAGTGTGCAATGTTTTATAAATAAAAAAGATACCCCTATATCCTACCTTCTGCCTCACGAATGTTATCTAACCAATAGAATATTCGTTATCAGCAAAAGCAATGCATACTCCTCGTCGAATCCTATAAAATCGAGAATACCACTAGGAAAAGAACTTGGAACTATTCTGTATTACTTTCTATTGCTAAAATGATTGTAATGGTAACGTGGTGAGAGATGATGCGATGGCGAGTCGCCCTTTTTCATATAATGTTCGGCGGAGATTTGGTCCAAATGCCCATCTCTTGGTAGTTAGTATTCGCCTCTGGTTGCGTTGAGTAACTGAGTTACCGTTGCTAACTACCCATCTTCCTGTCTTTTGATTTCTTTTTCTTTGTTCTCCTGAAGAAGCTACATAGAATTGTAGCAAAACGTCGAGATGAACCCACTTTTGGGTCACTCACAAATGACACGGTCCAAACCCGGAAGACGAATAAACTATAAGGCCCGTATTTGACTGACTATTAAATAAAGCTTGGTCAAAAGCAGCCACTGTAAGCAATGGCATCTCCGCATTTTGCGCCATCGGTATTGTACCTTTTAACCCTCATATCATTCCAGACTATTCGTTTTAGTAGATGTTCAGTCAACCAGGCCTGTCTTATCAGGTACCTGCCATAGCGGTTGCAAATATTTCCCAACTAGGCCCTTCTCATCAAGCATCTACTAAAAATGTTTCTCCTGAACCTGGACCATCAAATATCCTTTTATCTGACTCACTACAATCGGATAGACCCGAGACTTGCAGTGATCTGCTAGTTTTAACTCACCCAAATGATGACATTACACCGGGAAAAATATTGGAAAAAATTCTCCAGTGTATTCCTCTCTCGCATTGAAGCGGTTAGCAAAAAGTTAAGAAATTTAGCTTCGGTTTTGAATAGTAAGAGCAATATAAAAAATCCAAACGGAAAAGTTCAACATAAACACAAGAAGATAGAAAAAGCAAACATGAAGCAACCAAGAAAAAAGTCAAAAACTAAAGCCAAAACAACGAAATTAGATATGTCTAACACATCAGATGGGGAAAGTGAACCAGAACTGGATGGTGACGATGTTGATGAAGTTAAAGAAGACGCTAATATACTAAAAAAGTTGTTGAGTGGACCAAATGTGCTCGGTGTCAGTGTTGGTTACACGAAAACTGTACGAGATACGGAAATAATTGTGATATGTGTAGAACATTTTTAACTTAAACACAAAAAATATAATGCCATCCATATTTTTAGTTCAATATCTCACCCATATATTACTCACCAACTAACCCACAGTAGTATGGCTAAGATGGTGAATCATAAAATATTTTTGTTGTGTAATATGATTTATTAGAAATCAAATATTGTTTCATGTGAAAGACTCCGTTGCACTATATTAAGAGAAAATGTCGTTGCATGTTCAGTTTTCTTAAAAATGTGATTACAAAAACAATTGGGTTATTTAGAATTTTGTTCATCATCTCTCTCAAGTTACCTTACTGAATAAAAGCAATTAGTATTGAGTCTTAACGGAAAAATGGCTGTCAAAATTGTAACATACAAGCGAATGAAATAAAATCCGCCCATGGAAATCCAACTAGACACAAGACAGGAATTACAACAAAAAACAAGAATAGGTAATAGTAAAGATTGACAATCTAACTAGAACATCTCAATCTCAAACGTGCCTATAGAAAATAAATTGTTAATACACAAATCCATTGTAAAGCCTTTATTTACTTATGGCATTAACACTGTGGAACTGCTTCCATTAAGATTGTAGCGTTTCATTTGTCTTGCCCTTTTGCTATTATTTTTGCTAACGCTGTATCAAGAAGTGACTACACCATCTCGTAGACTGTACGTCTAAGTACGCCGTAGTCAAGTTTCCATGCCATTAATTTTGACTGGGTGTGATTATATTAAAAGTATGTAATTTTTAAGTAATAAGTATGCCTTCTACATAGGAACACTTTTCTCCAAAAATGATACTGAGCTTCTGAAAATATTGTGGATACTTTTTATGTGATTTATATCACACATTTGGAAGAAATAACAATACGTCTAATTTGTGATGAGGTGCGTGAAATGGCGTATTTTCACCAGCCTCTTTCAACCGGTGAACGATTGGAAACTCGGCATTCATTCAAAAAATCAAAAATACTTAAGATAAACTGTTTTTGAAAAATCTGAAAACATGTTCACTTCTACATATTACTTAATAGTATTATTGTATAATAATGATATTATTTTTTCAAAAGCTGCTACGGTACTTTTATAACCATCTAGTGTCTATAGAGTTTCGTTGTAGGAAACTATTATTTAAACATAGAAAATCGATTACTGTAGATATAAAAATTACTTAAAAAATATTTGTAATTTGTAAAGGTTGTCATAAGTTGAGTTGATTCCTGAAAGCTACAGGGCCGTTACTTGCAGCAATGAGTTACTACATGAAAATATCAGAGATTTTTAAATTGAACAAAATTTATAGTTACAATTTGACAATTCTACACAAAGAAAATATTATATTTCTCATTTTGTACGTTAAGTGATGACTTCTTCACAAATGACAATTCAGTTCAGAAATAATCGCAAAATTTATATAATATAAATAACGTCCGCCTAGTTACTTATACATGACATGTGTCAGCACCATCGAGTAAAAAGACAAAAGAGGGAATCTAATCCTTATGAAAAGGAGACCAAAAAAGTGGCCTCTGATGGCGGACATATCAGGAAATGCGAATGCGCCAAATTTAAATTTTCTGACACTTATTAACAGTAGCTATATAATATTTTTCAGAATGTGTCTTAGACGAGAAAGTTTTAATTAATTATTAACGGTAATAGTCTAAAATACGACACAATTGTTAAAAAACTTCAATATAAATAAGATTTCATGTGACATTTGGGACAAACAATAACATAACCCAACTAAATTTGATGTCAAACAAGGAGTGAGACTCTCTTTCCTTGTTTAATGTGGCCTCTAAAGATCGCACTTCCTGTCTAACAATATTTTTGCCCCCACTACCTTTACATTCCCTCTATTGTCTTTTTGCTCGATGGTCAGCACACAGTGGATTCCTCAGATTTTCTTCACCATACTGAAAAAGCCCCAGTGTGGTAAAACAAGTCATGTAAATTAAGTGGAATTTTAAAAAAAATATGGTTTGAATGTATTTACTTTATATCATCAAGTAAAATTATGCTAACTTATATTCCAAGAATTTGCCAATTTTATCACAAGCTATAAACAAAAATAATCAACCATAACATTCGTTAAAGACGTCATCTTTACAAAATACTTTAATTAAGGTAGGTACATACGATAAACATTATCTTTGTGTAGAAAGTCAATTTTTTTAAAGATTCCAAGCAACATCTACATAAAATTAATAGATAATTGATAGATAATGTATGAGACTGCTAAATTTAAAACGAAATAAAAATATATTCAACACTTTTCCTGAAGACAAAAAACAGTAGGACAATGAATTTGTTTAATATTATGAATTTACCCTGTTAAGTCTTAAAATTCGGCATATTTTGAAAGTTAATCTTTGTAGAGAACACGGAACGTACACAATATATCATTATCTCCATTGCGGAGTAGGTAGCAGGAAGAACTGTATCATATAATGTTATAAAAATGAAGACGTAAATAAAAAATGAGATTCTTTTGATCACTTGTAATTGGTTTCTTTAGAAACTGAATTATTAAACCTTCTAAAAACTTAATTTGTGTTATAAAACAGATGTTGCCTGAGTATTAAAATAACCAAAAAATTAGTTTCGCAACATTAGAACAAAATATTGAATAAAAGTCAAAGGTTACATAACCAAACATTTACGTTGACGCCTTTTTTGTGGTTCGGGTCGTAGCACTGCTCTTACTGCTTCATCAAAAACTTGTTTGAGTCCCCTTTGAGTTAAAGCTGAACATTCCATATATTTAACAGCTCTGATTTTATTTGCCAACTTTTGACCTTGTTCTCGTTTTATGGGACTCAGACCTTGATCTGCAAGGGAGTTTAGGGTTTCCCTATCGTCTCTTAAATCTATTTTCGTACCTTAAATGGATAAATTCGGTTTTATTAAGTATACTAAATTAAGAACAAAATATTCCAGTCAGCGAATATCTCGTATTTAAAGCCTAGAGTTTGTAGTAATGCTGGTTATTTTTAGAGGAAAAATTTTATATCAATATTATAAAATACCCAAGTTTTTTATAACATATTTTAAATAAGAAATAATAATTTCCATATATTATTCGGACAGGAAGGTCAACAATCGATCACACACAGCTTAATTGAATAGTTTGGGTGATATAATGTCGCCTTGTCTGACTCCTCGCTGTATCTTAATAGGCCCCGTTTGTTCAACTATTTTAATGATCATATATATTGGAAATTAAGTCCGTATATCTATAGTCTATTCTCCCATTTTGTAAAGAGTTCTTTACTGCCCAATGTTCCACCTTATTGAATGCTTTTTCAAAGTCTACAAATGTCATATACATTGGGATCTGATATTCGTTGGCCTTTTCAATTATTATTTTTATCGTAAGCAGATGGTCGCTTGTACTGAAACCTTTTCTAAAACCGGCTTGCTCTCTTGACTGGTAATTATCTAACTTAAATGTTAATCTGTTTGTTTTAAGGCCCACCCACCCACCAACCAACCACAACCAAATAAGTTTAAACTGCAAACCCTTACTTGTGATACATCATTGAAAAGACTATAAAAAATTCTATCCAATGGTATAAATAATAATTATGCAGGGTGAAGCAATAATTGTGAAACTTTGGCTTAAATGGAAAATTTAATGAGGTTTTGTTGAACTACAAATTTGTTAAAAATGCCAATTAAGTAAATGTTCAAAGTGGATTTCGTTGTTTTGTAAACAATAATACAGACTACTTTGGCAAATGTTCTAATAACAGCGCGACATGCTTGCGTAATTCATTCTGGCAATTCCCCAAGTGACGCAGGTTGAGTTTTATAAACAACCGACTTAAACCCCATAGAAAAAAGTCAGATGGTGGTGTCTGGTGACCTTGGTGGCCACTCAATAGGACCTCTCCTTCCAATCCATTTGTTCGGATAATTAGTATCCAACTATTGCCTAACTGGAGCTGCATAGTGAGGAGGTGCTCCATCTTGTTGGAAGTGCAGCAAATCTTCGTCTAGAACTAGGTTGTCTTGATCGCCCCTTTGGTTTTCTAATTCATGCACAATTAAAGGTTCGACGGTGTTTTCCTTAAATTGACTGATATGAACAATTATAGCATCGCCTAATATTCCTGCGCAAACATTCAGTTTTTCAGGATATTGAGTGTGACATTCTCTGAATCGATGCGGGTTCGCATCACTCCAGTACCGACAGTTTTGTTTATTTACATTACCACCATTCAACATAGAAGTACATTCATCAGAGAAACAAATATTTTTTAACATTCTCGGTTCAACGCGAATTCTTTCAGTCACGAGTTCACAAAACTCAATTATGTAATTTCAACACCTTTCGAACCGACTCATGTGAAAGTCCTGTCATTGCAGATACTTGACGTGTTGATGCAGTAGGCTCTATTGCAAAATTTCCAGGGACCTCAATTTGGGAAGCTTCATTCAGTAATCTTGCGGCATCCCTTTTTTTATTTTGCATTGATCCCGTTTCTCTAAACTTTTCAACTAAATCGCGGACGTACACGTGACTTATATTTTTCTCCAGATACCTTTCATGAAATATTTGAGCTGTTCGTAAATAACGCTGGTTCTGAAAGGCAAATATAAAAATATTTTACACACATTACAAATGATGAAAAATAATGACATTTAAAATTCTCAAAAAATATTGAATCTGACAGAACCTAAAAAACAGATGTTTTCAATTTGTTTTGCAAAAACGGCAAATTAAGTTTTTATTTAACAAAAAAAATTCCTCTTATCATTAAAAATAATAGTCCAGGAGAAAAAAAATTATAGTAAGCCGGCTGTTATTAACACCCTGTATAATTATTAAACAATAATTATACAGGGTCATCAACAAAATCAACAAAAACTTTATTAAATTTTTCATTTAATCCAAAGTTCCACAATTATTGCTTCACACTGTATAATTATTATTTATACCACTGGATAGCATTTTTATAATCTTTTTAATGAGGTATCACAAGTAGGGGTTTGCACTTTAAACTTTTTTGGTTGTGGTGGGTGGGGCCTAGGGGGTTGATGGAGGTGAGTTCTCTTTCATGTCATTTTAGTTCCCCCTTACCATCCTAGAAAAGATTTCAAGCATTTTTCGAAATCAGCTTTTGTTCGTGAGATATAACCCATTGTAAGTTTTAAAATTGACACACTGTATAGTCAAAAGGATAAAAGGAGATGATAGGTTGGTATCTAATAAAAAATTCAGTACAGCTTGCCGCTTTGACTGATGACAATACCATCATGTCCAGTAGAGTGAAGGAATCAACGAAAATACAGGGTTGATTACTCAAAAGAGTCCACTCTGCTATTTGGCAATATTTATTGGATTTTGTGAAAATGCTGAAACAGCTTGATTTGAATGCCATCTTGAACAACAGCTTGAATGACATCTGTCATTTGTCAACTCCCTCCTTTTTCATTAATTCGAAATGGTCTATTCTATCGCAGAACATGGTGATATATTTCCACATTTTTTAAAATGGAAAGTGTACATAGAGTACATATTAAAACTAGTTAAGAACCTTCTTTAAGCACTAAAATCTGGTTTTTTGCACACTACTGTCCACAGAGTACTGAAATATTTCTTTCATCCCAACAAAATACAGGAAATAAATGAAAATGATCCATACAGGTGATTGAGATGATGAGATGATTGAGAAAATGAGCAGTAATCCAAATATTTGTTTTACGAATCAATCTCATGTTCCATGACCATTATCAATCGATACATATTATGTTGACTACCATATTCGCTATCGTGACTTTGTTGACAGCAGCTCTAAATAATGATGTATAGAGTATAAATAAGTAAAAATATGTATTCCATGAAACACAACCACAGCAGCCACTGAAATTAAAGCATGCGCAGGAATTTATGGGGATTATATTGTTGGGCCATTCTTTTTGAACAAAAGAATGAAGAGGTTTTATTGAATGGCCAGCAAGATCTCTGATTAAATCACTTGGGCTTCTTCCTACACAGTTATTTAAAATGCTATATCCAATAAAAATTGCTGAGTATCTTGGTGGACTCTTTTGAGTAGTTAACGCTGTATATACACAACAAATAATTGCTATGTAGTAATAATAAATGGTAGATGGCTCAAATAAACATATATTTCAAAAGAACGTAATTAATTGAGTAGTAGAGGCAAAGATTATAGGTGCATGATAGAGGTTATGTACTTAAAATATTGGGAGAATTTGCTATTAACTTTCTCAACACAGCATTTAAATCAAAGCTTTCATTCCTAATCCAAAATAGCAGAAAATTCGTGAAATATAGGTACTTAAGGTTTTTTTTTTGAAAGTTGATAACACTTTATTCTATTATTTGCAATAATTCTGCTTAAGTAACTATGCATTCGATTCTAATATATTTCATTTGTTTGAAGTCATTAATTGGTTATGAGTGTCGATCATTTTATGAATCAGGTCATTCACCAATATGTTTGCCTTTATCTCTAGATAGGATTGGTTTTACCTAGTACAAGTCAAATTATGTTGTTTGCTATGTATGGTGGTTTTTTTTAATATCGCGACCAGAATTCCTCCACTGTTTTAAAAATATTCTGCTAGTATTATAAAAAATAAACTTACCAACTAATATCATAGGTGCATCTGGACAGTGATGTTTAATTTCTGGGTACCATTTTGAGGTAACATTTTCAAAAGATGAAGGAGAGGCTACACTAAAACATATCAAAAAGACATCTGTTTGGGGATAAGATAAAGGGCGTAATCTATCATAGTCTTCTTGTCCTGCTGTGTCCCAAAGTCCTAAACTAACTGAAATTCCATCTACTACCATTGGGGCGGAATAATTGTCAAACCTGGGAAAACATTTTATTTTACAAATATAATTTCATTTTCTATTACGCAAGGATCAGCATAAGTCAGTTAACGATGTGCAGTGCCGTCCAAAAAGAGTAAAACTGTTATGACTGGCAAAAATAGGTATGATGAGACACAATAAGTGCAATAATTATTAATTTACAATAGTTGATCACTATGCTTATGTCGGCATGCAACCTCTATCAGTATAAAGTATACTAAAAGGGACTTGTCTGTCTCTCAACTTTGATCTGCGTTATCAGGCAAATTACTATTACTTTCCTATGATAGAGATGGTGTACAGACTAAACAAGGAGTTCCAATAAACTGATTCCAAATTAGTTGTGCCACATAGTGATTGCAAATGCAATTCGTTCTTTATTTGTTAGTTGAAACAACCAGTCAGTTTGCAGTTTGTGTATCACTTTAATTGCATATATAAAACCACAGTTTATGCCGAATGTTGCACAACTGAATTATCATTGTTATCATGTTACCTACAAGCACTAACTGGAGACAACCTTGATCACAGACAGGAATTTTGCAAGCAAATTCTTTGGAGTGATGAAATGCACTTCAAATTAAATAGACGGAACAATCAGTAATTGCGTTTATTGGGCATCTGAGATCTCATAAAATAATTGCCCATGAGTTGAATCTTCAATAAATTAGTATGGGTTGAAATTCACATTTTCTTTGGTAAGTATTTCTTTTAGGGTACCACAAATGCAGACAATTATCTGGAGATCCTAATGGATTTGTAGACTGTAGATGAAGGGGTTGTTTGGCCTCTTAGACTCTTCCACACTGCAACCTAAAAGTTCTTTTGTCTATACTCATTATCTTTATTTAAGCTTTCAGGTAGGTTTTAGCACCTGCTGTCAAGACTCTTTGGTCCAGGCTTTAATTCAAGAGGTACTTAACCATTTTGCTCCCTATCCCGATCATGTTGGCTAGCTGGACCTTTTTCAGTCCAATCTAAGCTTCATCCTGTTCATCTTTAGAATTTTGGCCTATAATGGGATCCAGTTCCATGGTTTCCCAACTACTGAAGCTTTTGTTTGTTTCTGATCCATTCCTATGCTACAAGAAGCAAGGAAATGAATGGACACTCCCTGCAGAGCCCCAAATCCTGAGGCTTAGAAGGCTAATGAAGTCTTAATCTATAGTCAGTCTTGATAACCTCGCAGGTTTCCCTGAGGTTAGTTCTCAAATATAAAATGTTTGTCACATCATAACATGATTTTGAACCTTTAAAAAAATTAAATTAAAAACAGTAATTTAATGCTACCAGCATCAGAATTCTTTAAAAAAACTAGTCTGTCATGTATAAGGCACATCATTTCTGTATTGAGGAAAGTGATATAAGTCTGAACATAAAATGTCTTTAATTATCAATTTTGTACCTAAATAAATACAATAAAATATATTTCTAGATACTGTACTTTTTGTTTTATTTGATCTGCAAATTAGTTAACTGACTTACCCTATGTAGTACAAAGAGACCCTATGTAGCTAGAACCTATGTAGTACAAAGACTCAAAAGCAACAATGTAAGTATATAGAAATTGTATTTAACACTTTTAATAACTTAGATACAACTATCAAAAAAGTAACCTATTTAATATCACAGCTGGATTTGTTCAATACAAATCTACACTGACTTGGAAAATTAAGTGATCAATAGAAGCTGTAAATATAAAACTGAGTTTTACAGTTTTAAAAACCATTTAATGTTATCAGTTTGTAGAATTTTTTCTTGTATGTTGTTGATTTCAGTCCTATTAATTCTGATTTTACTCTTAATTGGAATTGTTTATTGTTGCAATTGATGTTTCTCATGCTTTTCAAAATTGTTAATGTTTGATACATATTCTACCACTGAATACTGATTTTCACAAAGTAGTTTGAATCTTTATAGGTTAATGGTACATATTTGTACCACTTGCTGTTTAATAATCTTAATAATCATAAATTGTTAAAATAAGCAAAATCTCTTTTAACAAGAGGTGAAACTCTGTGTGATATTGTAGCTTCCCATACCAGTAATACCAAGTTATGATGAAAAGACCAAAATGATGTCATAAAGTGGTACAAATAGATACTAGTGAATGTTTATTACAATCATCAGTTTTCATGCGCTTTTTTTCTCTGCTTTTACAATCCAGTAGTGATAAATTGAACTAAAAGTAAGTATTACAATGTTATTATAAAATTAGAAGATGATTTCCATTTTTTTTTTTCAAAAGTTTCTTGTTAAATCATTGAAAATATCTATTAGGGGTTAGATTTTCAGTTTGTTAATGATATAAATTAACCTTAATGGCTGTTGTCAAGGACTATTTCCACACGTGATAATTTAAAATTTTGAAATAAAATGTTTTCTCACTAAGATTTTGAAAGAGAATTTTTAGCATAACCAGGTTTGTTAAGTTTGACATTCAACATCATCTTAGCATATTTTTGAATGTAGTGACAAATATTTTTTTGACATGTACAGTAGATCAGTCTAATTTATAGGCTGGTCAAACTTCACTTGACTCTACTTTCTTTTTTTGTAATCACACCTTATTATTGATGAAGTTCACTGGACCGATAACATTGTTTATAACAAAAAGGTGATATAGATCTATCTGTTTGCTGTTAAAAACCTTTCTCCAAATTATGTTTCTTGAAAACATATTCTATATTCAATGGTATGTGTCTACCATAGGATGTAACAATAAGAAAAATACTGTAAAGGAGATAACTAACTACTGCCAAAGATATTCTCAGAAGCTGAGAACATCCTCATATTCTAGCTCAGAATTTGATGAGATTTCAGACAGATAGCAGCTGCTTAAGTAAAATAATCAAACTGACTTGATGACAAGATTCTAGTCAAACTTATCCTCAAGTAATTGCTCTATATTTCCTTTGAATTAGTTTATACCTTAGATATTGTAACTGGTATAATTCTGATTGTAAATAAAATGTGAAATTGTAAAGAAATTATTTCATCAATAGTTTTCATCATTCAATTTACTACAATATTAGAATGATTACAATCATTCTAATCAAATCAAGACTAGAAACTTGTATGTTATGTAGTTAACAGTTTCTTTGATTATAACCTTAAGATTCTTCAGATAGTCCAAATGATTTGCTTGTTATATTTAGTAAGTCTCAACCACATCCCTATAACTATATGCCAGTTGGTTATCTGAAATCAACTGTAATTTATTAAACAAGAGTAAATAATGCTATACCTTAATGTGAGTCCAATATTTTAATAGCTATATCAGGAAAATCTCCATCATAGCAAAACTTTAGATAGATTCTATTTTAATAGTGGACAACCAATTTAAAACTTATTGAATTAAATTTCAACAGATTTAATTTAAGTATATTATATCCATAAGAACAAGTCATTTTAGCTCATTTTGAATATCATATGTGGTAAATTGGATGTTATTTTAACTTTCCCTAGATTGTGATATGTATAGTTTTAAAAATTTAAGACTTTTTTGACAAAAGAAAAACCAGTTAAGCTGTAATTAATCTTTTGCTAATTCCAACTGTTAAATTTCTCGTAAGAAGCGAGCATTTGTTATTGAGTCCTAACCCAACCCCAGATTACCTAATATAAGTATAATGTGTAAAAAGTGGAGGTGTTACTCACACAGTGGGTACATATTCGCCTGGAAAACTGTCTGTTGTATAAGATATGAGCATGCAGGTTTTTCCAACGGTTCCATCTCCGACTACTACACATTTAATGGGCCGGCCTGATGACATATTTATTGTATTTTTCTAAAATGAAAAATGACAATGACCAATTCTTAACATAACCTATTAATATATAATTATTCTGATAATATTACCTTATAAATTTTTCTGTAGGTGAAAAAATACAACTGTGAACTTTATAAAATAGTTACTCTACTTTTTTACATAAATGCTTTTTTCTTATAAAATAGGTTTATTTCTCCACAACAAAAATACTTATCACTTTTCTGCCATTGCACTTTTATAGAGTTGCTGTCAAAGGTAGAATATTTTTGGAACAACTATGACAACTATGTAGGAACTGTTCTTTTTACCTGTTATTTTATTTGAACGGAAATTATATTGTTTATATTATTTTTGTCGCATATTTTATTATTGTTTTCTTGAAACCTGTTCTTCTCAGCACTTGACACCTGGAATTGTTTATCCTTCTCTCGAACATTCTGATTCTTTGAAATTAGTCAGGTATGTACTTTACATTTTAAATTTAATGTGAATATGAATGTCAGTCAAGCAATGCGATTCATCTCTATATTTGTAGTATTGTCAAAAACTTTCAAAAATTTACAATCAACGCCCCGTTGAAAAACTATACATATGAGAACAAACATACAATATTTTGAAAAGTTCGAAAGTTTGAATGAGCTGCGATTACCCAAATAATTGATACTGTAGAGTACATGTACAGTCTCTAGCATGGATAATTAAAATGATTATAAAATGTTTACAAAATAAAGAAAAAATAACTCAGTAAAATTTATAGCTTATTATTATAAATATTGGTCAATTCATAATTTTAAAGATGCGGCTAAATGGTTCTGTGTTGTAAATATAGCCGTATTTCCGCAGAATTTCTTCCACAATAATATAATATTTTATAAACATATTGCTATTCGAAGGTATTGATATTTAAATGATTATATACTTTAGATTATTCTCTATTCTGTGAATATTTAGATTATTCTATTCTGAAGCTATGAAGTTTGCTATTAAATATTTGATTGCTAATCATTAGCATATGATGCAGAAATTGATCACATTACTGTTTATAAATTTACAGTTTTCTTTTTGTTAGTGTATTGATGTTTAAACAAAAACTTTATAACAAAACTTAACCTGTCATTGTTAAGCTCAAACATATGGCTACAATAAATGTTTAATGTTTTATTTGTTAGAATATGGTTATCTATATTTATTTTTAATTATGGTAATTAAATAAGATAATTAAGAAATTATTTTAATTTTATTCTATTGGAAAATTTTACTTCTACATGTTGGCGGCGATGATTTGAAGCCTCAGAAATCGATACATTCGATATAAAATCGACGCCACCCGCCTTTCAAACTTGTATTGAATGACAGAATTGCAATCATAATAAATATTCAAATAAATCTTGATTATTTTCACCAAATAAATTTTGATTATTTTAATCGGTAGGTATGTAAATGATGTACTAGAAGGTAAAATTGAAATTAAAACTTATCATAAGTAAAAAAATATACAGCAACTCGAATTAAATTGTGTGTACCTACACATAACGCAAAAACAATCACATCACATCATTTTAAATAAATAGCTCGAAAATTATGTTAAAGGGGCGGTGGCAGCTACATAAAAATTTCACAAAAGATATATGGTGCAGTTTAACAAGTGTCGTTATATCATAGGAAAAGCAATTATTTAATATATAATTCATCAACCAAAAGCGAAGCTTTTATAGGTTCATAAAGAAATATGAGAATTTTTGTATGACTGCCAATCTGTCAGACGTTAAAAAAATATTTAAAATGCTAAGAACAGAATAAATTATCTTTTTATATTACCCGCAAAAATGTTACAAAAAAGTGTACTAAATATTATAAAAGTTTTCTGTAAACTTTGCAGGCGCGGATGTAATACTAATAAACAACCTAACAACGAAATAATCGAACTACGAAAATCGAAAAATTTCCGATTTCGAAACCGTTAATCAATATCTGCTGACGCTTACTGTAAAAGCTCTCGTCTCGCCCCTTCCTCCATCCTTCCTCTTTCGATCGGCGTAAAATAGGTGGTTATTTGTGGGATTGTGGAGAACCATTTAAAAAAGTAGATAGTAAAGGTAATTTATTTATTTTACTTTTGAACTGTTAATTAAGTTTTTCTGATGAGTTTCGTATAATTTGGGATTTTCCGGGTTACTATATCAAATTATATTTTTGTAAAAAGTTTGCTTAGCGGCAGACCAAGATGTCGGTATGTCGCCATAATCATTTATTATGGACAATAAAATCAAGATAATCTCTGTTTTTTAATATGATATTGTTGTATAATGTTGCTTTACTGTATGCTATATTTGTTTCAATTTGTTTTTATGTCTTATTATTGTTCCATGTATATTAATATAGGTAGTGAAGTATTGATAAAATTTGGGTATATTATTTGATTATTATATAGATTTTTTAGTGCATTTATGACAATATAATTACAATTGATAATAATATGTTATCCTATATGAAGAATTATAATGGTTTAAGCGAATGTAAATTCCCGGTGAAGGTATCGATTAGCAAGCGTCATATAGCATCGTAATAATCAATTATTCAATTGTTAAAAGAGTTGGGAATTTTAAAATGTTTGCTTATTTATCTATTTAATTGACGTAGTTCATTGGACTTCATCCAATAAAATAAACGTTGTTTTATTTTGACCGAATACCCGGCATGATGGTGTATAGCAACAGAGTACCTGTCAAAAATCAATCAGCTTGCCTGTTCATAATCGATAATTTCCATTTTCCTAAATGTACAAAGTTTTTACTTAATTGAATAAGTTGTTCAAATAAATTATTCAAAGAAATTGCCGAATTAAATGTCACAATTATTTTCAGAAAGGTGCATTATCAATTTTTTAAAACGCTGCTTATTTTTGCTATTGTAACTTTCTTTAATTAAAGACCTAAAACTTTGTAGATATATAGCTCTTGTCTTATTTTTGCAAATTTTGTCTGATGAAATAGGAGATGAATATTTCTATTTGGATATTCTTCCTCTTGGTCTGAAGGTAGGGTATAAGACGAGGTCCAGGATTTCTTCTACGTATGGTTACGCCGAACTGTCATGTTTACTCCGAGGAAGACTAGAGGTGGCTTTGAACCATAAGCTATGACAGTTAACGCCATAACCCCAACAGTATGGTGCATGAACTGTTGGACAAAGTAATATGGATTTTGTCTTTCATCACATCTTTTCGTATTCTTATTCACTAAAGACAACTTCATTCCATTCCTGCTCTCAAGCCAATTGTTCTCTGCTGTATTCAATATGATTGCATTGATGTTCAGGGGTAAGAGGTAGCACACCAGTGTAGCTTAACTGAAAAAAGGCCATCACTGTGAATATGATTATAAATTGTATGCTCCCAATTGGTCTTCCAAGTTCTGCAAACCATTGATTTGTATTAGACTTGGTAGTGGAGAGGCAGTCCCTGCACTCAATCTTCATGTTCAGTCTTCTTGGCGTCATATCCAATAATATCTTAACATATGTAATTTTCTGTGATCCCTAATAGCATTTTCTTTTGTCTGAGTTTTATTTCAATGTAACCACTTTATAAAAAACCAAGAGATGCAGAATCTACAAATGCAATAATTATATAGTGTTCAATTTAAAATAACTAAGTTGTTGTTCGCTTCCGGTATAACTAGAAGTGGCATGTCTCAAAAGACTCTCAAAAAGTTCATCATAACTTGTTATGTCTGTAAACCAATCTTTATAAGTAACTTATAGTTTCTAATATATAGATACTCATTGTGAAAGACCCTATATATGGGAAGTTGTAACATGCGGCTTATCAAACCTATAATTTGATAAGCCACTTGGTTTTATAGTCTTCCCTTTTTGGATATATGTACTTTCTTCAGTAATAAAATAATAGCAAAACGTCAGGAAACTGTCCTGTCTAGTAAATGTTGTTTGGTTTGTATGGGTTTGACATAGTTTTCTTCTCCTTGTAGTTTGAGGATTTCTTCATGTATTTTATCAATTTTATCATTTGTTTGAAATATGTTAGCTCTATTTGAATTTTTTTCTGTGGTGGTGTATTGTCATATTGGCAGAATGCATATTTGTTTAAAACCTCTCTGAATGTATAATTCCAGTCAAAAGTTATCATAGTAAAATCAAAGGTGCTGCGATAAATTGTTTATTTGATGCCAAACATGCATATATGTATAATCTATTTTTTCTTTTTCTTCATTATGTAGCTTTTCTTGTATCTTGTTTGTGTGTTGTAATTGTTTTTGGATTTCTCATATTTGTCTTACCTGATTTAATTTCCTAAAAAGAAAAGTGTTATAAATAGTAACACTTTTGTCAACTAGAAACTATCAAAAAAGAGTTATGTAGAAGGTTAGGCAATTACATTCAAATACATTATTTCAAGTACAGTGGAACCTCGATTATCCATCTCTCTGTCACCTCTGTTAACTGTCAGGGTCCATATATGTTATATTGCCTATATAAGTAAAAATTTAGCCATCAATTAATTAACTAATAGGTAATGATAAATGATATGGTGCTTTTACAAGTTCTATTTTTAGAATCGCAAGCCGAAAATAAAAACACACAGTACAATAATTATTACAGTCAATATCTGTCTGTCACCATAATTCAGTTTGATTCAAATTCGAATATTGATTGTGTCACTTACTCATTTGATTAATTAAGTCTTGAAAAATGGAGCCTTCCACATCTGGAGTACCAAAAAGAAAATGTGTTGTTTTGTCAATTGTCAATAATTTAAAGAAAAATGCTGAAGAAATTGAAAAGTATGCTTCACAAATAGAATTGTTGGATGGCCGGGTGAAACATCGTAAGACAAGTTGTATGACAATTACTTGTATTACAAGTATGAAAAATTTGTGGTTCATTCAAAAAAGAAGCAAAGGTGTTACTTTGTCTGGACCAATTATTGCCGAAAAAAGCGTTGTTTTTCAACATGAAATTAAATGGCGATCCTTCATTCAAAGCAACGGTTGGTTGGAAAAGTTCAAAAATCGCCACGGTATACAGGAACTGAAAATCGAAGGTGAAAAATTGGGCACCGCAAGTATTGAAGTGGTTGACGAATATAAAAGAAAGTTTCAAACTGATAAATGAATATGGTTTGACACGCGACCAAGTGCTCGATGCGGATGAAACTGGTTTAAACTACAAAGCATTGTCAACGAAAACAGTCACTGCACTGTCTGAAAATATGCACACGGGTTTAAAACACAAAAGCAACAAATCACAGCAATGATGTGTGCAAATGCAAGTGGTGACCAACGCCTTCCTTTATTATTGATTGGTACAGCAAAAAAACTCATTGATTCAAGGGCATAAATATAAACGCGCTTTCCGTTAACTACTACGCACAACATAATGCATGGATGTCCTAGGAAATATTCGCTGACAGGTTCAAAAAGATATGTATTGCAAACCAAAATTTGTTTATCTATTTTCCAACGTCTTGTTTTTTAGGTTTTTATACCTCGCGTTTGACAATACTCGCAACCAAAAAATTTGCCACCAAAGGCGATTCTCATTTTGGACAATGCACCTGCCCATCCTGAAGCCAGTATGCTGCGAAGTGACGATAGAAATATCACAAGCTCTTTTTTGCCTGCAAATGCAACATCATTGATATAGCCAATGGATCAATCGGTCATTGAAACATTCAAAAGAAGATACAAAAAAAAATATTCAAAACCTAGTTATGGAGGAATATTATTTGCCAAAATACTGGAAAGCATACAATTTAAAACATGCAGTCGACAATGCTGTGGATGCTTGGGCTGATGTTTCGGAAGTAACGCTGAAAAGAGCGTGGAATAAATTATGGCCTGAATAAACTGTTTTGTTTTCGTTGCCTAAAGATGACATAAATGAATGGTTAATTTGTGATGAGGACGCAAACTGCTATCGATTGCTGACAAATCGTTGAAATGGCAACAGAGGCGGACGAAACTGTTTCAGAAACTGACACAGACTTTGACGGTGGCGATGTTAATGATGCTATTGCAACTCACAAAGATTTGCGTAAAGAAGCTAGAGCAGCTGCATCGCACATACAAAACAATTATTCATCGTCGATTTTATGATTTTATGTCGATTAAGAAATCAGCCGTTACAAAATGTGAAGTAACAATAAAATAAAGATTTTGGAATATTTTAAATCAAATTGATTCGACTGTACTAACATAAATCCCTCTTATATCGTCAAATAAAGCATGCAAATATAATTTGAGAATTATACTATGAATTCTTATTTTTTTTAATGTTCTGTTAACCATCTTGTCGATTATCCGTCATACCCTTGGTTCAGTGCCCTGACGGATAATCGACGTTCCACTGTAATACTGTAAATCTGGCCCTTTAATTTTGTTCATAATTAAAAAATAAAAGAAAACCGGATGGCCAAAGTTTTTATAAATAATTTATTATTAGTTTCAGAAAATGAGCGAGTCTCCAAAAGACCGTAGAGGTCGCGATCGAGATCGTCTCCGCAGGGATCGTATGAATGCCCGAGCCGATAACAGCAGAGAGAGAAGCAATGATAGAGGTCCCCGTGAACCTAGAAGCATGAGACCATCCCAAAACAGAGTGTATGTATCCAACATCCCATATGAATATCGCTGGCAGGATATTAAAGATCTGTTCCGTAGCAAAATCGGTGATGTAACTTTCGTGGAGCTTTTTGTCGATGATAATGACAAGCCAAGGGGTAGTGGCATTGTCGAATTTAATGATTCCGATCTTGTTGGTAAATGTCTGGAGCTTATGCAGCGTTATGAGGTTAAGGGGCGTAAGTTGGTGGTAAAAGATGATCAAGGCATTACAAGAGATAAATTTGGGGCTATTGTGAGTAACCAGGGCGGTGGTAAAAGAAGAGAGTACAATCGCTTCAGTGGAGTTGATAACATGAATAACATGAATATTGATTTGGGTAATAGTTTGTCTCTTGGTAATGATAAATGGGGCAACACTTATGGATTGAGTCCACAGTTTCTTGAATCTTTGAAAATTGATCCCCCTCTTAACAATAAGGTGTTTGTGGCCAATGTAAGTATCTTTGTGTATTTTATAGAATTCCCGCATCAATCACTGTAACATGATATTTTACCATTCAAGAGGGCCCATTTTATGGAAAATCTTGTAATTACAACATAAAGATACTAACTTTTGTTCTGCAATTTCTGTATTGAAATTTTCTTTATGTAAAATTTGGATGGTAAAATGAAAGGCTGTAATATAACCACATGTGGCACATTTTGGCTGAAATATTAAATCTGTCAAATTTAGTTATCCTTTTAGATACAAGCTTAATGGTCAAATTCGCACAAAATTCAGAAAACGACTTCTAAAATTGACTTGTTTTCCATTACTGTTTATAATTTAATCGCCATTATTTTTTATTAAACCTGGTCTACTTCATGTACACTCGCTGTATTTTGAAAATTGCTTTTTCTCATGCATTTCCCAATCTTCTCGGAATCAATTCTAGCTTTCTGTTGTAAATGAAGGTAACTAGATGATAGATTTTTAATTTCCCAAAATGGTCATATATGGGTTTGTAAATTTGATCATGGTTGTAGTGATTGTGAGTTCATACAATAGGTAAAAACCAATGCGTCTTGGACAGAAAAACAAATTTATATAATTTTCTACATCCTTATAGAGGTGTACTGTTATTAAACTGAGTTTGTTCTTTCTATCACTCAGGTAGAAGAAGTACATATTTTGTCTTGTTCTTTCTATCACTTTGTAGGTATTGTAGGTTATTTTCTTTAAATTGTACTTGTAGGTGGGATATGCTATTTTCAGTGTTTAAATTCATTAATTAAACTAAAGTGAAATTGGGAAGATTTGAAGCTGAAGTTTTACAAATTGAAATTGATTTATCCAAAACTTGTAACTAGAAAAAAATAATAAAAACGTTTTTATTGTATTTTATATTGAACACATTGAGTGATAGTCAAGTTGTCTTTGAACATTTTTTCGTGTATGTTCTCCTTGTGCTAAACAAACTACCTAAATCCCTGGATATCAACTGAAGCTTGAATATCTGTTACAATTTCACAGATTCCCTGATTTCATTCCCATGTTTTTTCTTTTTGGATTTTTCTCCCCAACATCATTGAATTCAGCTTTCAGACTTAATTTTGTAATGTGACATTTGGTAAAACAGTTTAAAATTTTTAATGATGCCGTGAACCATAGGTTGCACTACATTTATTATGCTGTACACAAAAATGTTACCTTTGTGTTTTCTGTAAGGATAATGTGGGTTTATCTTATTCATTCTTACTCCACAGATTTCGACTCCATGTTTTTAAAACAATGTGGATTGCATCAACTTATTTATTTCAAGTATAAGAAAAGTGTAACATGCTTTTTACAAATCTATGGAGGAGGCCATATCAACACACTTCACTTTTGCAGCAGTCAGAGATTAACTTTAAATTAATCAAAATAACTTTAAATGATAGATATTTTGATGTCAAATTGGAAGTTAAAGGAACCACATACAAAGCTTGAATCTTAGATGTATTTAAATTACAAAAACATAAGAATTATTCATGTTTCACTATAATAAAACAAAATAAGTAGTTTACAATACTAGAAGATATAAGTATTGTGCAGTGATTCATTTAAAATTGTTTCGGTACATATATGTATTTGGAAACATTAATTCTGTAAAAAAGGGTTTAATGTATTGGTTTTTATAAGTATTTTGTATGAACTAGGATATTTTGTATAAGGCATCTTAGAAAGGAAACATCAACGATGAAGTCCAGTCATTATATTATTTTCGATTTATCAATTTTATCAGTGTAGAACTAATTTAATTACATTTTAGTGATAAAACAAAATAATTTGGAGTTTTTTTGTTGGAAAATTCTTTTATTGATTATCTTTGGCATTTTTCAGTTAAATTACTGATGCTTTGAGAAATATGGAGCAGACACTGTTGAATTTGGTTGGACAATTTGAATATACTCTAATAAGATACAGCATTGTATTTATGGAATAGTACCTACAGTGTGAACAAAATAAAAATGCATGTATTTGTTTGGCTTTGTCCTTTGTATTAAACTCCTGTTATATAGGCACATTTTCAAGTAAACAAAAAATATATTGAACATAAGGATAATATCATCATTTATTTTATAAATATATGAAATGGTGAACTATGAGAATTTTTCTTTTTTACTTCGCTTTCGTTAATAATAATACTTGATATTATGTTTTTTGTTCTTTGCACAAATGGCCATTGCGGTTCTGTTGTATTTTTAATAATTTTAATATCAAGTTATAGCATTCTAAATTCCAAAAATTGTTCTACAGGCTGTCTTGGATCATGAGTTCCTTTTAAGATTTCTGCCTAAATTTATAGCATTTCCAACCTACAGCTTTAATATAGATATTGTGACCCTTATTTTTAGTTGGATTACAACATTGACAAGAAAAAAATAAAAGATGTCTTTAAACTAGCAGGTAGGGTCATCAATGTTGACCTGCCTCTAGATAAGGATGGTAAAGTTCGAGGTTTTGCTGTTGTTGAGTATGATCACCCTGTAGAAGCAGTTCAGGCTATCTCTATGTTGCAAGGCCAAGTTTTGAATGATAGAACATTGGCTGTACGTATGGACAGAGTCAACGATAATTCCAAATTACCAGAGGGATTGAGATCTGTGGGCATGGGTCTGGGACCTAATGGGGAAGCTTTAAAAAATGTGGCTCACAATTTACCTTCATTGGGTAGCGGCTCACAAGGTGGAACAACTGGTTCTGGGATTTTGGGGGCTGTACCTAATAGTTCTTTACAGTTGGCCAGTGCTCTCTCAGGTATGTTTTTGATATTGTGTTTTTATTGGATTTTTCTCTACAAACTTAGCAGGCGGGAAATATTCATATATTTAATTTTCACTGTGTATCAGTTGCTTGGTTGCTGTTGATTTTTTGAGTATATCGAGTTTGTATTAATCAGTGAAAATTAAAATTTTGTTTTTGGTTTTGCTTTTTTTACTTTTTTGTAGAACTAAGAGTGTCATGTTCTTGCTTTCTCTTGATTACTTAAATGGATGCAGCCTATAATGGAATTCGGTGTATCAAAATTATTGACACTCTTAGCTGTAAATGGTGAAAACAAATAATCAAACTCAATAAGTCAATATCTAAATGGGAAACAGATATTTCACTAAAAACTCATATTATCTAAGCACAATGGATCCCGTTCAATAATAGATGTGAATGTCGTATTTATGTTGGTACAAGTTATGAAAGCTTTTTACTTTCATTTACACTCTTCTTGAAATGTTTTGTATGATATTTTTATCTACTGTTATGTAGTTTCTTGTTTTAGTGCTTGTACTTTATTTTTTATAGTGATTTTTGCTGTCTAGGTGCATTTGAAATTATTTATTAAGAAATTTACTCACTGTAGTTTGCTTCTACAATGTTATGGCCACATGAACATAAATTTATGTGGTTGATTACACTTATCCGGACTACTTTTTCCTCTAATTCTACTGATGTTGTAAACAAACTTCTCTTTACATCCTTACCAATTGAATATATCAATTTGTTCAGACCCATTGGGCAAACATTTGGGTTAGGAAGTACCTTAGTAAATATTGGATAATGAGTTTTTAGTTATACTTTTTTTCGTTGTATTATAAAAATGAAATGATTGTCAATAATAGTTTATGGAATGTTAAAAAATATTGCTAGTTCTAGTAGCAATAGTACAGGTCACTGTCAATGTTAAAAATAACAATTCTTTTGGCACTTTCCACAAATTGTGTAAAAATATGTATTTACTATTTAGTCCTAAATTTTTTTCACTGTTTATTGTATATGCATGATGTACCAATACAAGCAATTATATAAGTGAACTTTTAATGTCCACTCTTTAGTTCTTATACACCCACAATATGTACAACAAAATCAGAGCAGTTTTTGTGGCACAAAAAATTATTATTGGCAATTATTTTGTTTTATTGTAAACAGCTTAACACTAGTGTGGTAAAATAAATGTTGAGTTTTTAAAAATGTTTTGCCTTTAAGAAAAATTGACTTTAATTTCACATCCTAGTGTTAAGCTTTTTCTATGACTACTTGATTAACACACTACGATTTTCAGGCCTTGGCAATGTTGGTAACTTAGCAAGTTTGAACCAAAATTTTTCCGGGCTAGCCAACACTTTGTTGGGAAACGGATTGGGGGCTACTGAACTTTCGTCGCTGGTTCAGAATCCCCTTTCGGCCCAAAATTCAGCGACCCAGCAACTCTCCGGTTTGAACAACCAAAACTCAACTTCCGGAAACCTAGGCAACTTCAACAGAGGTTCTTCAGGTGAGTTAATAAACCTTAGAATAGAAGAACAATAATTATACAAAGAATATTTTATCCACAGGAGATAACTACGGTAATCAGAATTCAAACAACTTCAATTCAAACAATGGAGGAGGCAGAAATTTCCAGAGCGGAAATAGCAATTATGGAGGAAATGACAGAATGAGCTTTAATGGAACAAGACAAGATGGCGGAGGCAAAAGCTTTTCAAGAAAAGTGTTGATCTCAAATGTAAGTTAATAATTAAATATGTATTTCATAAGTCTGTTTACCAGTTCTATTTTTTAAAAGTTGGTAAAATGAACTAATTGTTTTAATAACTAATGGAATACTAACTAAATGGAACTGTTTCTTTCGTGATTATTGATGCATCTTTCCATTGTACTATATCTGTGATCTGTCGTCGAAGTCCCTGTTTTATATTTGTTTATTCTGGCATTTAGTGATCATTTGATTTCTCCCGCATAAAAATTTTTGCATTCGCAGGTTATTTTGTAGATGCAGTTTTTATATCTCTCTGGTATGTTGTTAGATTTGGTTTTGGACAGGATGCATCTGGTATTGGTTGTTTTAAATGTTGTGAAATTGTACTTATTCCATATTCTTTTATTTTTCTGCTAAATTCTTTACATATATGATATTGTTGTCACTATTTAGTCTTTTGTGAGTAATTCTGGATTGCTAGTGGTGTTTTGTTGTTTCCTTTCTTCTATCTTGTGGAATTCCTTGTTAATAAATGACAATGGGTAGTCATTTTTTGTTAAAACCTTTTTTTGACGGGTTTTTTCTTTTTGAAATGCCTATGAGTTATACACTCTTTTTAACAAAAGTATTAACTAATCTTCTTGAAAACGATTTCCGCAGTGGAAATCGCAACTTCAAACTTTAGTTAGTTAAAAATGTAATTTTAATTACAATCAATGCCGGGTTACATGGGATATAAACACAGTATTTAACTTATATGAAGGAAGTTACTAATTTCAGACAGATTTCTCCACATTTATATTTGAAATTTACGAAAATATTTTATTTCCAGCTCCCTCCTTCTGCTAGTTACAAGCTATTACATGAGAAATTCACAGAATTCGGAGATGTCCATGGGTTTGAAGAAAAGATGCATGGAAGCGTTCTCGTAACTTACGGTTCTGACTGGCAGGCGGAAAGAGCTATCAAAAACTTGGATAAAGCCCGCATCGATGGCAGAATGATTGACGCGAGATTGTATTTCTAAACTGATTAGTATTGTAAATGTTTAGCCTTTAAGATCAGATTTTTAGTTAGATAATCATTATAATCTGTGTGTAATAAAACATCGTAAGAGGTGTTTGAAGAATAAAAGTATTTGTATTTATCCAGTAATATTAGTGTCGGTACACTATTAAAGTATGTTTAGGTATTTATGTTTTACGGTTGTAACATTGGAAATTTCCAAATTCCATTTTGTGTTAATTTTTTATGAGTCATAATAAACACTTCAACGTGGTTTTTATTGATTTTATTTACCTATATAATTGTCAAATAGCTGGGGAACTCTAAAAACATTCATATTCCATAACACAACATAAAAATTTAGCAACAAGGATGGCAAATTACTTACCACAAAAAAGATGAATGTTCCTAGAATTTTTAGAAGGTGAACTTGCTAACAATACAGGACTAGAGTTGCGAAACGAGGAATTTGTGGAGTCCCCCACAGTAAATGAGTGAAAAATGGCTATAAAAACAAATCACAACCTCTTGTGACTTGTTTAAAGACGGCGGACATATTCAATGAATAAAATTTTTGTAAATCTTGAGGAATGTACTTTCCGAAAAATAACCAAATAAAATAATACCAGTTTCCAGTGTAAACTCTGTTTGTGTGTCTGCTTTGTTATTTTTAGACATATGTCCTTCCCAATCTATGTCTGACTCATGCCCAGAAGACGGATCCGAACTATCATCGTAAGGGATCCTTTCGACGTCGTCGTTGTTAGAAGATGATGAATTGTTGAGATCCTTCGATTGAGGAAATACTGGTGTAGTCTTTTTAATTTTATTGCCTGTTAAATCATGCTTTCTCAGTTGGGTGTCCATAACTTTTCTTTTCACAGCTGTTTTCTTTATATTTTTGTTCATTCTTTTCTCGTGCTCGTTTTCTATTTCATTTTTCTCAGGTGTATCAGTTAAGACTCGACACTTACTTCTTTTATGATCTTTTTGTATGTTTGTTCTTGGAGGTACCTTAGGTAAAGGACGGACTACCTCTAGTGACTTGTATGGTAGCTCAGGTTCTTTAGTCGTTATGATTATTAATAGGGGGTCTGAAATAAATGTCTTCATTGATATTAGCAGAATTATCTCGTATCAGTGACCGAAGAACTATAGAACTCATGTTCTTGAAATACATTTTCATTCACTGGCCAGATCCCTGAAACTCTGAATGCAGATTCAATATTTGTGTGATTAAATTCTGGTTTATATGCCTGACCAGAACTTTCAGCGACATCGTAAATAGATATTGGTTTTCTTGGGTTTCTTAGCATCCATTCGGTGCACGCGTTGTTTTTATAGTTTTAGTATAGTTTTAAGTTTTATATGGGCCAAAAATACTGATCGAGGGGTTGGAGCTTATGGCTCGTATGAGGTGGGATAGTCAATATTACGATCCTATTTTCTTTAGCTAAGTTGATGATTTCGGGGTAATATGACTTTCATCTAATTAGCCTTCTTCGGTCCATCTTTGGACATAGGCCTCCCCAATCCTTTTCCATTCTTCTCTGTCTGTCGCTACAGTCATCCATCTTTCATGATTGTCTAATATTACTAATATTTCCGTTCCCACCGAATCAGCAGGTGCACCTTTCAAAATATAGAGCTTAAAATTCACTCTGGGAAATATGTACATAGGTGGGACATCATTCCCTGAAGCACTTATAGCAGCGATAAATGTTACCATTGGTACCCCTTTTTCCACTTGTAGCGGAACCAACTTGATTAATAACCCTGCAAGCTACAGTTTTTTCCAGGAACGTGAACATTAATGTTACCACTCTCATCAGTATTGTATATTTTACTGTGTACGAAAGTATGCTTATTCATGACTTCTTTTAATTTTGAAAAAACTAATGAGACATTGTGTTTGTTGAAGCTGGCTCCGCGAGATAGGCTTGTGGCTTTCTTAAATTTTGTTGCTTTCAACAGCGATTGGACTGTAAAACACTCGAAAAACTTGACTGAGAAGTCCAAAAGTATTTTCAGCTACCCGTCTAGCTCTACATAGGCGATAATTAAATACAGCTTTTTAGAAATCCAGTTGGCCTGTACTTTTATTGTAGGGCTTCATTAGATTTTTGTGAAGCCGAAAAGCTTCAACTCCGACAATTACAAATCGCACAACTCTCTCTGAGCCAGGCAATGCAGCATCTTGAGGGAAGTTAATGTTGTTCTCATATAATTTTTTTCCTAATGCAGACTTGGTAAATATGCTAGTCACCCTCTCTGCCATAGGAGCCTACATAAACAGCTGTAAATTTATAATCTGCATCCACAATGGATAACAGAACTAGTAAAAAATAAACTTTGAAAAATTAAGGCAAATATCGAACACAAATTTAATAATCAAATCTTGCCCAAGTACTTTCGCTTTCTACAGCATCATTAGGGGCATTTCGTCAAATTTGGTCTATCCAGCAAGCGCAGAATGTAATAAACATGAAATTGGACATAAATTGTACATAACACTACATTAAAACAGGACAAACAGTTTAAAATTATTAAAAATTATTCTACGCTCTACATTCTTGTCGGCAACAGGAGAGAGAAAAATCAAACTGATTTTTCGTCAAACGAAAGAAACTATGAAGTTTGGTTTCATCATCAACCAGATATTTACTTATTAAATTGGATTGTTATCCTTCTTCAACCCTCCTCACATACATTTCATGAGTTTTACTCTTTTTTGGGTTTTTTAGCATCATTTTTAAAATGTTCTCCTCCAATTCGTGCTCTTTTAATATATGAAAATAAACTTTCCTATGTAGAAGCTCCATTATTATAAAAATTCCCGCCTTTAGTTCAATATCAGCTGATCTATCGCATGCGTCTAAATGCCCAAGAAAGACCACCCCAAGTGCGTTTGCGACTGCTGCTTGCGTCAAACGCATGCGACAATCGCATAATAAAGATTGCACCATTTTTTGCTTATGGCGACCCATAAAGTCAAGGAACCATTGTTTTACGGCACGATAATTATTATTCCAGGACGGTGAGACTGGCTTATTATGTTGGCTTTAGCGAAATGCTAAAGTTTGCGAAGAGCGACGTGAAAGTACATAATGCATATTGAGTTAAATACTGACATAAGTCGTTCTCCTCATCAGTGGAAAATACTTTTCGGACTGCGCAAGCACCATAAGAGAGGAAATTGTTGGTACCACGGATCAAAAATCTTTGAAGTGTCGTCCGTGACACATGGAATTCTTTTGCAGCTAATCGGACCGATATTTGCTTTTCTTGAATTGCATTGTATGCTTTTAATAGGTTTTCATGATCTGTCGGAGCTCTTTTTACGCCGCCGGGCCCAACGTACAAGACGTGATAGTGGTTCAAGGTAAAAGACTCAGCCGAAAACAAAACGAATATGATTTTAACCTAAAATAACTGTTTTGTTATATTTCTCACTATGTTGTGAAGTGTTTTTATTAATCTAATTTATTGTCTTTATTTATTATCAAAAGTTCTACATTTATAACACAAGTTTTTTTTTAAGTCTTTATTTGTACAATATAACTAATTTATTTCACACATTTACTACAATACGAGCGTTACATTTAATAACTCGACGCGATATTATCTTCAGACTAACTGTTTTCCACAAAAAGGTTCCTTTATTTATATAAAATGCCGTTAGCATGGAATCTCTCGAAGCCCATGGATGTTGACCTGAATTGTCTCGAATGAAGGGGAGGTCAGACTGGTTTTTATAGCGGCCTGCTTCAGGAAAGTTCGAATTGTCGGAGACCGGTCAGGTATTACCTGGAATTTCTGCCGGCTGACAATCTAGAACATATCAGAATTAGAAAGAATGTGTTTACAGTTTTTGAGTCATAATATTTTTATCGTAACAGTTGTTTAAGTACCTGTTAGAGTAAGCATACACACCCTGTGATTTAATTTATCGTATCTGTTAATACACAAATTAAAAAAGAAAATTATCTTCCCTACAAATACTTTTCACAAAATAACTCACTGTATTTTTAAGACAGCCGCAAATTATTTCTGACGACGTTCAACAACTAATCACAGAATAACGACGATTGTAGAAGAGCTTGACATAAGAAACAGAGAGAGTTCGAGCGCCATATTTAAAAAAAATGGAGTGGTTCATGGTACAAACTGGTCCAAGGTACAAGCCTCTCCCCTACCTGGTTGGTATGTACCTTTAGACTACCGTCATAGTACATACCCCATTGGGGTATGTATTGTGACTACCGTGAGACTGCCTTCTTCAACATTTTCGTCACTACGTCTTTCTTCTTCACTTTCGTCACTTATCATCTGATTGTCTTCATCCATCTTATTGCCCTCGGAACCTGAATCTATTTCGTGACGCTCTCGATTCTGTATCGCTGGCAAAAATGGCCGCTAAATCCTCCTCTAGCTCATTATGCGTCAATATCTTTCTAGGTACTCATCTAGAACAAAACAAGATTGTTGGGACACATATAACCCATAAAACAAAATACTAGTCTTATTGAACATATTTACCTTGTTTTGTAGGTAGTTCCACTCAGAAACAAATTCGCAACAACAATAACAGCGCACAATTATCGCTGTGGTAATCATCAACAAAACACATTCCACAGATACCAACAAAACGGTTCGCAGTGTTGCCGCTTACACAAATGATTCTTTTAAAATCGTTAAGTTCTTAAAAAGTCTGTTACGAATAAAACCCATGTAAAACAGTTTAGATTTAGTCCAACAGACTTGATGATTTTATGACTGGGATACATATGTCTCGACAGACTCGAAAGGGTTAAAAATAAAAGTCAAATATATTCAAAAATAAAATATATTTCATCACAGAGACATATTACAGAAATAGCTTTTTAGTCTGGTTTGTTTTTTATTTATTTTCAACCATGAATGCCTATTCTCCTTGCTAAAATAACATATTTAGAGCAAAATACATTACAGCTACATAATAAACAGTTTTTGGAGTGGTGAGTCTTCTAAATCAATTTCATATACTTATTAATAATTTTTGAAATAGTGTGCATTGAAGATCTACTTCCTGATGATGGACACTGACATGATGCTATAAATAATAATCTATTAAAACCAGTTTTGTACAATTGTAACAGAGATAACAAATTGGACACTGAAATGCACAAATGTATTTATATAATTAATATTAAAAATAAACTGGGTATATCTTCAACTTTAATAATTCTTCATATATACTTGACTTTATATTTATTTTATACATATATTATGTACTTTAGAGCATTTTTGACCACATATATGACTATTTGCTTCATCCATACATATATTGTGACATTGTTTTAAATGCTTTCTGACATTTGAATCATTTTTATATGGACCTAAACAAATGGGACACTGTGAATGCATTTTATTTTCCTCAGAAACCATGTTAGAAAGTGGAAAGACAGCTTTAATTTTTGCATTGGGATGCATTGTTTTCCAATGTCTTCTGGCACGAAAAATAGTACTAAATTTTATAAAACATATAGAGCACTGCAGAGTCTCATGACGTAAATAGTGTCTTTTGAAATTTGTGTTTTTCACCACTTTGTTACAAATATGACATTTTGTAGAATGAGTCAATTTCAGGTGAATATTTAGATCCATTTTTTTATCAAATTCTAGTGAACAAATATTACATTTAAATTGCTTGTGCTCTTTTGACTCTTTTAGATTGTGTTGATTACTACATGGCGCTCTTGTTGTATGTAAGGCACAATGTTGTAATAAGTCTTCTTTTTGAGTAAATGATTTTCCACAAAATTGACAAACTTGTTGCTCTTGATGAGAATTTAAGTGATCCATGGTGTCTTCATAGGAGAAGAAATCTAAAAATTAATTATGTGTATTAAGTCTCGTAGTTCCTAAAGTTGAGATGTGGATTTATTGACGAGTATTGTGGATAAGTTGGGTTGATCGAATAAGAAATGAAACAGTTTTATATTGAATGAAAAAGAGCACAGAAATAACAAAAGCGATAAAAATTCAAAAGTTATAATATTTTCGGTCATGTAATGAGACATCCAGACATCCAGAGAGGTATAACCTTCTACACCTCATAATACAGGGTAAAAACGCCGGAAGGAGAGGCCCAGGCTGACGAACAACATCCTGGCTGTGAAATCTCTGGGAATGGTATCAAGAGACCACCGCTAATTTATTTAGAGCCGCCGTAAACAAAGTTATTATTGCCAATATGATCGCCAACATTTGATAATCGGACAGGATACTGAAAGAAGAAGAGTGCCTAAACAATGTTCAAAATAATTTAAAAGCTTAGGTATAATAAATATTTTGTAACAATAAAATACACAGATACAGCCTGATAGATATATTAATGCTGACCAACCCAATGCAGTAAACAAAGGAATACATCCTGTAAAAAACACTGAATGAGGATGGTTTATACAGAAATAAACATGGGAAGCTAGTGGTTCATGGCGTGTCCCAATGACTAATAAGAAACCCCTTATGTACTTATAGGATAATACCATCGAGCAAAAAGATAAAAGAGGGAATCTAATCATTATGAAAAGGAGACCAAAAAAGTGGCCTCTGATGGCGGGCATATCCGGAAATGCAAAGGCGCTAAATTTAAATTTTCCAACACTTGTTAACAATAGCTGTAAAATATTTTTCAGACAAGAAAGTTTTAAGTAAATATTAACGAAAATAGTCTAAAAAGTGACACAATTGGTAAAAAACTTCAATATAAATAAAATTTCATGTTACAGTTGGGACAAACAATAACATAACCAAACTAAATTTGACTTCTTAAACAAGGAAAGAGACTGTCTATCCTTGTTTAAAGTGGCCTCTCAAGATAGCACTTCCTGTCTAACAATATTTTTGTCCCCACTACCTTTACATTCCCTCTTTTATCTTTTTGCTCGATGGATAATACTACAGGTGTGACTAAGGTATAAGCAAGTAACACCCATGGAATATTTGAACATAATGTAAGAGAATGTAAGAGAAAGGTATAAATAACTCACAAATAAAGGGAAGGATGTTAAAAGAGGTAACAAAACTCTTACAGTTGACGGATTATGAACTTAAGAAAGAAACTCCAAGGAACATATATCGAAAAAACTCAAAATGGCTCTGAGAAAAGAAATTATTCTATATAAGTAAGTAATTATTAATAACTAAAAACTAACAGTTCATTCTCAGAAGAAAAACTATAGGTTTCTGTTCTAGAGGTATACTGTGTAAAAACATATCAAGGACCAGACTGGCTTAAAGATACCAGCTAATTTTTTGCTATCTCCTTGAGCTGCTTTCATTAAATTAACATTTTAAACTAGAAAGCCTGGAAAATATGGAATAAAATTAAATGACAGTGAAAAATATAAATGAAAAGTTAAGCCTAAGTATCAGAAAATAAGAAGGTTCAGAACTAAGTAAATAAGAAGAAAAATGGAGAATAATAGCAAAATGGACTATGAAATACATGGGAATTGTTGTTTAGATATATAATTGAATATCTATGTACAATCCTACCTTTTTTACATTTGCTGCAGTTCAATTTAAGACTTTTGTCCTCGCTGTGCTTCGTTTCAATTTGCCTATCATTCTTCAATTGAATTTGATCATTTTTAGAACTCTCAAAAATTATTTCAATTTTATTTGCATCAATTTGTTTACAATCTGTAAAGTAATCCGTCCAGGATTTGGGATAATGAAGTAATGACACACTTTCCGAGATATTCTCTTTATCTTGAGGGATATAATTATTTTCAATTTTAATTGGAGGAATTTGATTTGGATAATCTGACATGTTTTCCTTACACACACTTTCTGATATATTCTCTTCATCTTGTGGGATAGAATTATTTTCAATTTTAATTGGTTGAATTTGATTTTGATAATCCAACATCTTTTCATTACACACACTTCCTGAGATATTCTCTTTATCTTGAGGATTATAATTATTTTCAATTTTAATTGAATCCAAGATTTTTTCATTATACACACTTTCTGATATATTGTCCTTATCTCGAGGGATATAACTATTTTCAATTTTAATTGGATAATCTAAGATGTTTTCGTTATACACACTTTCTGATATATTCTCTTCGTATTGAGGGATATAATTATTTTCAATTTTAATTGGATAATCTAAGATGTGTTCCTTATACACACTTTCTGATATGTTCTCCTCATCTTCATAGTTATAATTATTTTCAATTTTAATTGGATGAATTAGATTTGAATAATCTGCCATATTTTTCTTACACACACTTTCTGAGATATTCTCTTTTTCTTGAGGAATATAATCATTTTCAATTTTAATTGGATGAATTTGATTTGGATAATCTGACATCTTTTCCTTAGAGGTTGTATCACCTATATAACCCTTAGTAATCTCTATGTTTTCAACATTTTGGTCAGAACATTTAAATTGAGAATTATTGCATATTTGTTGTGATACACCATCATCTTTAGCATTTGTAGAGACACAGTCACAATTAATTTGATTTTGATAATCAGCAAAGCTTTGTTTATTATTGGAAGTGGCTGCATAACCTTCATTAACCTCTATAGAATTTTCTTGAAATGGGTTTAACCCAAACTCTCTTTCAATAAAATTAAAACAATCGGTCCCACTTTCAAATTCGTATTCATTTTTGTATTCCAAATTAATCGCGGCTAAAAAATACTGTTTCGATAGAGATTCGTTCATCTTCTCATGTATCTAAAAAAAAACACAACCACTTATTAAGAACTGTACTAATTATAAATTTAAAATGTTACCTTAAAACGCATTTAAAATGTTAACGACGTTTTTATTATAAGACTTATTTTATATATAAAATTATAACTCCATCTTCACTAACCTATTAACTTTATAGACGAGTTACTGGTAATTATTATTACGAACTAAAACAGGCCATACGTCCGAATAGAAGAATTAAACGATCACAAAACATTAGTTTCTGAAATCTTACAGAAAAAAGTTCATATAAACGTGTCATGGGTGGGGAAATTTATATTTATAAAAGGCTTCAGGTATAAATTATTTTACTTTAATCATGGTAATTTATCCCAACGACTTCGCTATGTCATTGAAAACATGCAATGAGCGTTAAAGGAAAGAATTTATATACAGATTTATATTACTCAATTTAATTGTGTTTCATTATTGTCGCAGTCAAAGCACGCCTATGGTATTTGGCCGGTTGAGTTTACCGAAAGTACAAGCTGAGTATAGTCGCGCAAATGTCAAACATGGAATAAAAATTTAGGTTTAGCAGTGTTGGCAATGTTGACATGTTTATATAATGGGTTGAGTTTACCGAATTTACAAGCTGATTACACAGGTTTTTACAGAAAACAACACCAAATTTTCAAATACAATAAATGGGCTTTGTATTCTTGTGTACTCTGGCGACGTAACTCAAGCATTTAACCCTCCCCACTCCAGTCGGAAGAGACAACCTTAGTAAGTCTACGAACCGTGAACTCAACCATTCGGCCTGTTAAGGTCGATTCAGACACATCAGTCCCGTCATAGTCTCGGCGCCGAACCGGTCCTGTTTGGTCACAGAACTATCAACTATCTGACAGCTGGGAAACTGTTTGTCAACTGATGAGTGTGAATGCCGGCAACATATTTGTATTTATTTTGTTGTTTGTTTGTGTTTAAATGACTGCGGACACTAAATCCATTCGCCAATCTTACAATTTGAGGTGTAGTGTGTGTGTGTGTGTGTGTAGAGTAATTGTCTTGTTACTTAGCAAAGTCGACGTCATTGTCTTTGCTAAGAGACGCTAATTGTATCCGAACGTCTGCGGTCCCTCCGGTGTGTACCGATCACACAAGGATAGAAATTATTTTCATTTATTAATTATTTTAATAAACGAAAATTTCCACCCAGGTGGGATTCGAACTCACGACCTTTAGGTTTAAAGGCAGGCGCTCTTACCACTGAGCCACAGAGGGGATATTTGTATTTATTTGAATATTTTGTATGACGGATTGTTCGGTTCGGCGCAATCACTGTGACGGGACGTGACTGATGTGTCTGAATCGATCTTTAGGCCCCTCTTCCATATCACTGCTGGACCCCCAGATGTGTGCCGGTGCGTGTGGTGAGTTATTTATGAACCACATTAAAGCTAAAAGAAGAGAACCCAACATTTAAAAATCTGTAAAATGTCAAAGATCATATTTCATGAATTTCATCATTTTTCTTCATTTTATAATTAACTTTTATATTTTTTATTATCATCGGTATAATATCGATGTTTATAATATTTCATATTGTAATCAACTTATCGCATATTGAATGAATTTTTCGCATGTCAGAAAATTTGAGTACTTATTACATTCTTTTTCTTTTAGCTTTTTATTTAGTTCGTAGACAACTCACCAAACACTGCCATTCAACCTTAACAGGGCGAATTCATTAATTTCCATAAATATTCTTTGATAAAACTTTCCGCTTGTTAATATTATGTTTTTTTTTTATTGATTTGTTATATTAATGTTGTTTTATTAATTAATTTGTTTAATTTACTGTTTGTATTTTGAGAACGATTTCCGAAGTGGAAATTGAAACGTCAATAAACGTATTTTTATCTTTAATTGTGGCTTATTCCCAGTTTAATTGTTAATATTATACGTGACAAAACTATAAAATTAAATATTGAACTTGTTTTAATCGAAGCAGTTTTATTTTGTTACTAAATTTCGTGTGAATAATTTCTTGTTTTTAAGTGAAATTTATTAATATTGGCAAATGTGCTTGGTTTTACCATCGAGCAAAAAAACAATGTCTTTTTGCTCGATGGGTTTTACAGTATTTTTCAGCCAATTCCAGTAGAGGTCTCAGCAGTTTCGTAAATAGGCCGTATAACAGTATAAAGACAGTTTTACATTATGCTATTTTCATGCTAGGCAAGAGCCATGCAAGACAGATCATGGAACTGCGCATGCCCACGGGCTATTTCCATGCAATTCCTGTGCTAGACGAAAAATTAGAACATGTTCTATTTTTCATGCAATTTTCTTGCAATTTATCGTTAAAATTCATGTTGCCAACATAACAATTTATAATAGATTACAGAATAAAACATAACCTTATCTCTATCTTTAGCGTCCCTTAACCCACATGTGTATTGTTGTGTTTTGATTTAAATTAAGTTTATTAAGTGGAGATAAGTAGATATACTATGTCTAAAGTTAATGTAAAAACGACTGGGTGAGTTGTTGACTATGGATGATTGTTGCTACAACAGCAATATTCAACAATAACAATGTTTTCTTTTCTTTGGTTGACATCCTTCACCCTTTTAATAACCATAAATAGTGTATATTTATTTATTATATTATTTATTTTAGTACTTAATTATATTTTTTATTTAAAATAAAATAACCTCAAATTGATAAATATTTTCTCTGTTGGCAACAATGAAAGTGGGATCTACAACTGCACAGATGTAAAAAGGTCAAGCTAGGCAAGAGATGTGCCATGCAAGACGGACTTGCATAGCATGAGACTTGCATAGCCTAGATGTAAAGCTCCCTTAACGATTTCTTAAGATTAAAAAATAAAGATCAATATGTTATTATAATATTTATATGTAATATATAACACATTAAATGTAAATATTCCATATTAGGAACTTTTGGAATTTTTACCAAGAGTACATTTTAATTGGAATTGTTTGCAAAGCGTAAAATATTACAATGTGTGAATGTAAAAGTCCTTTTATATTATAAGTTTGTACGTATATGAGTAGTCGGAAAAATTCGGGAATAATGTTGGCAAACTATTTTGTGGGTAAACGTCAAAGTCAAAATTTTATGAGGTTATCTTTTTATATATCGCCGTTGAATTTGAATTATTGTTGTTGATTTTTGCAGTTCTGACACTAAATTAAGAAAATACTAAAATGAGCGACAAGAAACGGTTTCATACCCCTGCCCAACAACAAAAACCTACATTGAGGATTAGAAAAACCAGTGCTCATAAAAGAAATTTAACAAACTGCAATAATGAAACTGTATTGTGTTCCACAATATCCTCTGAAGGATCTAGTTCTACCAATCTTCCTTCTTCCACTGGTGCTGGTGGTTTGAAATCTCAGGTAAAAAAATTAGTTTTTGGTAAATAAATTAGTTTACCGTGATGTAGTAATCTCCGAAAAGTGTATCGAAGAGTTATTCAGATTCATGTATTAAAAAGAATAACAATTAAAAAAAATTTAAACAGTTTGTTTTGACCTGTAACCTGATTTATTTTTCCTCTGAACATGAGTAGTTAAGATGCAAAACTCGCTCGTTACTCTTAAACGAGATTTTCAGAAAATGTAAAAAAGTTATTATGTCTGACTAATTAACTTAAGTCAAATGAATTCTTCAGCTTGTGAAATATTATTCTGATCTCGATACAGAAACTAAGGATTAAAAAATCCGAAGCAACATTTTAATAGAAAAATATAAATAATATTAATATTAAAAGTTAAAACAAACGAGTTTTGACAACGAAGCATTGCATTGAAACACTTTTGCTGCAAACCACCTAGGAATAAAAAACATGCATCGTAATAGTTGTAATCCAACCAAATAGAAAATAGTAGATATAGTAGACATTTTTGAAATATTTTGTATTTATAGAACTTGTACAAAATAATATTATTTATTAAAAAAATGCAATGATAATAATTTTATCATTATTAAGGCCAAACAAATATTAAATAGAGAGCCCATTAGCTTCCTCTATTATTTCAATGTGCTTTTCCTCATTGTTTTCTTCTAGTCCTTCAAAATTATTATCCACAATGGGGACATAGAAATGCAAATTGTCAAAGGTTCTTCAGTTATCAGCAAAATGAGGTTTTTCTACATCTTTAATTTTTTCTTTTACAACCATGACATTGTATGAAAGTAGAGCTGGAATAATTTGATTAATTTTCTGTCCCTTTTTTAAGATTGGTTTCTGGACGCCTAGATTGCACCTGTAATTAATTTCATCTTGCACAGTCACAATATTTTGTTTAGTTTTTTTCTATGATTATTCATTTGGAAGTAGAGTTGGCCTGGAGGCTTTACAACTATAGGAACTGCACTTTTCCAGTCTTGAAAAATTAGTTTTTCCAGTTTCCAGTCTTGAACAGCTACCTGGGTTCCAACTTTTCTTCTTCTTCTTCAGGTGCTATCTCTGCTACGGAGGTTGGCAATCATCATAGCTATCTTAATTTTTGAGGCAGTAGCTCTAAATAGTTGTTTTGAGCTGCATCCAAACCATTGTCTCAGGTTCTTCAGCCATGAAATTCGTCTTCTTCCGATGCTTCTTCTGCCATCTATTTTTCCTTGCATTATGAGTCGCAGGATGCCATACTTATCGCCCCGCATCACATGTCCGAGATACTGTAGCTTTCTTTCTTTAATTGTAAGTTCAATTTCCTTCTCTTTGTCTATTCTCAGTATTTCATTGTTTGTAACTCTATCTACCCAGGAAACCCTCATAATTCTTCTATAGGTCCACATTTCAAAGGCGTTAAGTCGTCTCATGGTATCTTCCATATCTATCCAACTTTTCTAACTGTGCTTAATTTTGAAAACAAATTCCAATATTCACTAGGTTGTATTATTGTGTCCTTTTTTAAATTGTTTATTTAATCCTCCCGAATACCCCATTGGGAGGAATAAGGGAGTGTCCAACCACAGGATAAGCAACTAATTTTTTG